GCCGGCCATCTCCTGATGTCTTTTCATAACGCCCTCCTGTGCCTGAGGTGTTACTTGGCAATAAATGTTCAATTGACATTTTACTGTACAAAATTTAATTACCTATTTTCTCCATCGTAAAAAGGGAAAGACTGGGAAAACAACTATTCAGTCTTAATCATAATGTGTGTTCAACCCCTCAATGGCTATGTAATTAACTTATACTTTTTTAACTTTAATATATTTTTCAAAAGGGAAAACAAATAGTGTGAATTCTACTATTAGTAGCAAACAATAATCAACAGGCACTTCTAAAATCTTTCATCAAAGTATGACAAGGCTCTTTACCTGAAGTTTAGTCTTAATTCTCTTGAGAGGTGCTATAAGAAATCACAGTAGAAGGCACCGCAATTAGAAGCACCCACTTCTAAGGTGAAATGCCACCATGTTTCTATGGTAATTTCAGAGAAAGTAAACATTCTAACTGAAGTTGCTGGGATAATAAACCAAATCCACCTAAGAGGTTCAATGCTATTTACACAGCTGAATCACACTTCAGGAGAACCCCAACTGGAACTGCCAGGGTACACTCACGGTACCCCTTATAGTAAAGGCTGGCCAGCTCCTTTGCACAATCAGGTGTTTTTCCAAAATTCATCCATAAGTTCCTTGTTTGGAACTTTTAACACATATTTGTAGAGGGAAAAGAAGTCTATAAATGCTGATTAATTTCCAGGTCAATATACAAAGCCTGTATAATTCATAGTGTGCCTAACATTTTAAAGTAATTTTTCAATCACATTTGATTTCCCTTCATAACTCTCTATTTTAAAAAAATGATTTCAGTGCCCCAAATAAAGATCTCCTATTTTCTCACTCCCCTAGAATAATATATATTCCTATGCCCCAGGTATTTGTTTCCTCTGAATATCAGCCTAAACAGAGAATATAACCCTTCACAAACTTTACTGTCTGCTCGGGCATAGGGGAAGTGGGCCTGGTGTAAAACAACAGGTGTGAGCTTCCTATATTGACACCAAGCAGAGCACCTACCAAATTGCTCTGCCTATTCTAATACAGCACAGGCCTAATAAAATGGTCAAAGACAGGAGAGGCTACAATCCCTTTCTAGAGTTATCTAGCTCTAGATGTTCTGAATTGGGAGGAGTAGGGCAGAGAAAGGATAATTTACCCCACAAGCCTTGGGACCCAAGATTCATACTCTTCTGCTGATGTCTTATGTGTTCAGGTTGTTTCTAACTTAAAAATTGTTCATAGGCTGTGGACTTCCTTCATCTGAGAGCCAGCACAAGGAGTTAAGCAGATGCGGCTTTGAATCCTTACTCCACATTTTAACAGTAGCTCTCTGTGCTTCCCTTCCCTACTTTAGAGAATTTCCTGTGAGGATTAAGCGATAAAATGTATGAAAGCTCCTAGTTTGGTATCTGACTCACAGTAGGAGGCACTTAATGTGAATTCCATTCCCTTGCACCTCTGAAGAGAGCCACAATTTTGATATGGGTCAGCTGGTACCCAAGGTATATCTTTGAGGCTGCAGCTCAGAAACCCACTACACTAGCCCACAATGAACATGAGACTGGCCATGATATAAAATGAGACATAAACAACACCCAAGCTAATCATTACTTTAGCTGCTTCAGTACAGGTCTCACACCTCATTCCCAACTCCTATCTTCATCCCATATACCCACGTCCATGAGATCCAAATGACAATTTCTATTCTTCTTTGTCTAGAGAATTCATACTTCAGTAGAATCAAAATGAAATGGAAAAAAGTATAACTTGTCAATACATTACATATAATAGAAGAAATGTCAACTGCTATGTTTAAAAGATGTATGTATTTTAGTTCCCACCATCTAATATAGGGAATAAGCTATGCTACTTTTGATTTCCAGAATATTATAGAGTTATAGAGCTATAAACTATAATCTAAAATGTTAAATATTTTAAATATAAGTATGATATCAAATACTAGATAGAAAAATGGTCCAATTTCTTAATTAGAAATATAGTCAAATGCCAGAATTGTAAATAACTGTCAGATATATCAATTCCGCATGTACCTAACTTGTCATTTCAAACCAAAGGTCATCAAAAAGAAATAAGATGGACTCTACTGCATTATTGGGGTATATAACAATGCACTTACCAAAAAATACGAATAATTTATCAATGTCAATGCTGTTGAAATAATCATATAGAAAAGAGAAAAAAGACAGATTAAAGAGAACCAGTTTAATTCTCACATCAAATCTTTTAAAGCCTAGGATTGGTGATATAAGGGAAGAAACACAATGATGGTAGAAAGAATTTCTGAAAATGTGTACAGATAAATGTTGTCATTGTTTTCATCAGCTCTGAAGGAAATTGTTTTCTCAACTAAACACATGTTTTCACAAATTAGGGAGGGTAAATTTACTGAAAACATTCTTTTTATTAATATACAAGACAGTCTGTTTTTGGCAGGATAAAGGAATGTACTATTCTGAAACAATACCCTAAATTGAGCTGAAAAGAATTTAATATTTGATGATGCACAATCTTTCAGTGGCTCAGAGTTAGGATCATGAATATCAATTATTGCTGCACTTGGATATTTGGAATAGCATTTAATATTTTGACTCATATAAAATGTACTAAACCTTACTTTTTTGGGGTATGTTTAAATGCCAAAAAAAAAAAAAAACTCTTGGCAAAACTTTGAAGAATGCATTTTCTCTCAATATAGAACATGTTCTATGTAATTCTTATATGATCTAGACCTTTTTTAGAAACTCTCATTCTTACTACATTAAAGTGAACAAACATTGGGCAGCAGATTCAAGACGTCAACAGAAAGGTTCTTGATCTCAGAGAGGAAGTGGAACAGAGCCCACCACCTGCCTTTTTGTCCCCTTGAAGGGAATGAAGACCTCTGGGGACAGACCCCAACGACTGCTGCCCAATGCCAGGATATCCTTAAAGATTAATTTGTTTATCACGATGACCTCAGACAACCCTCTAGGTATCAAAAATGTTCCAAGCAAATTTGAAGCTATGAGGCCTGTATGACTAGCCAGATTTTATGTATAAATCAGGAGCTTCAATAATTGATCATACATACATAAAAATACATATGCTTACATATGCATGGAACATTTTAGAAGTACATAAGTGTTAACAGAATTGGGGAAGCTATGTCAGTGGGACTGTGGAATGGCTGGGGGTCTTCCCTTCATATTCCTTCATAACATCTGATGTTTTGCTTTTCTGATAAAACCTAATGTAAAATAATAATTCACTTTATTTTCTCATAGCTTTAATTTTAAAGGCCATTTACTAAGTGTTTGTTTAACTTACTATTAAATAGGAGAAAGATCAAATTGACAGTCTATAGTCTCCCTCCTTTTTTGTCACAAAAAGAAACTTCAAAATAAGAGACACTATTACTCAGCAGCAATTCTTCCAAGAACATGTCAGCACTGTACAATTCAAAAGTAGCAAACTTAGTTGCAAGAATTTGTATATTACTTTTATTTTTTTACAGCATGATAGAGCCCACAGCTCTTTATAATCATACACTTTAAACTACCTTGCAGAGCCTGTTTTATACACACAAGCCCACAGGTAGTATCAATGTTTCCTACTTGCGATGATTTTTAAGTTTCAAAACAAAATGCTTTCTGACCTGTGGGTTAAAAAAAAAGTGATAATTTCCCTTTTATCTAAATTCACACCTGGAATAGAACACCCGCTTTCACATAATCAAAAGCCACAAAATAACTGAAACAAGTCATTTGCAATTAACATCCACTCTTCTTTTAATATAGAAATCTCTGCATCCATTTGAAACTTTCATGTGTCAGAGTTGGGAAAAAGACCATACTTATAACTAGGTGGATGTACTATGGGTGCAGTGTACCTACACTGGCGCTGGAAGCTCGAGGAAAGACATGCATTATGTATGTAGTGGGTACACAGCTTAACCCTGAGCACTAGTTTTGAATGTATTAGCACACTCAGTAAATTGAACAGTAAGTAGTTCCAAGTCTATCTTTCACTGTCACTATTGGGGTGTGTGTGTGTGTGTGTGTATATATATATATATATACACAGTTCCATACTGACTGCTCTATCAAAATCAATTTTAATCTCATATGCACAAGATTACTCACATGTATTTATGCTGAGGCCCTTTTCCAGAGCTTGTGCAAGAGTTCTTACCCCAAAGAGCCTTACCCCAAAGTCATGCACCCAAAGGATAAAATCTCAAACAGAGGTAACAAGCCCCAAGTGGAAGGCAGAAAGAGAAAGGGTATGAGAGGTTTGTAAATTCCTTCCTAAATGGATGGATAGAAATCCTGTGGAGTGGTTAGGGGGCAGGAAGCATTTTCCCTGATGTGGTGGTAACCACAAGGACCAGGGATAATGCTTGGGAAATTGATTGCTTTCCAGTTGTGCTTTCTGCAGTGCAAAAACCAGGGACCCTTCCATCCTCTTTGCAGTGCTGCAAGATCCACTGAAAACTCTGCCTGCCTACCCAGAAAGTTGACGTGTCTTGGTATTTCGGGAGCGTTCGAGTCCAGAGAGGATTTTTTTTTTCACTTGAGAGTAAGCTGGGCATTTCCTTTACTGTATGGGAAAAGCTAACCCTTCGCTGTAGAGTAGTGCACAACCATCCGTAGGTCTGCATGTATCCTGAGTCCGTCCTCCCTTCCTCCTACCATCAGTGGTTTAGTGAAGCTTGCAGAGAAAATGAGGAAAAGCATCCATCAAAACGCAAAGACGCAGAGCGGAACTTTTCCTCGGCTGTAAGGGGGAAAAAAGTCACTTCTGCTTTTCATGGCTGAGAGCTGAGTCTGGGAACCGCCGGACGAGGAAGGAAGGTTTAGCAGTGAAAGAGGTGGGAGAAAACAATGCCGAGCTTGCGATGCCTCCGGACACGGTACATCCTGCCTGGGTCCCCAACCCACCCGCTACCCACACCCACGCTCCTGGAGCGGCGCAGCTTCCCTTACCTTGATGATGCTGCTGCGCCGGGGGGTCGCCCGTGCAGCCTCTAGGAGGCCAGCCTCGCTGTCCGCTGGGGCCCCCACGGCGCTCGGCAGTGCGACCCCGCTGCGACGGTCTCTCATCCTGCCCCCAGCGGCGGCCGCCGCGCAGTCCCCGGCGGCGTCAGGGCCCACTCGGGGGTCGTCTTCGCCCCCAGCCGCATCGGTCGGCGCTGGACCCTCCCTGCCGGCCGCGCCTTCTGCCATGGCACGGCGCGTTTCAGGCTCCCGGGGCAGAGACGGGACGCCCGGCAGCAGAGCCCAGCCGCTGGGCACGGGTGCGCTCGTGCACCGGGAGACGGCCCCGCCAGACTTTGTTTCACCGCTCGGCGGCGGCGGTGGCAGCGGCGGCGGCGGCGGCAACTTTCTGGAGAGGAGGCATCGCTCGGGCAGAGACGTCCTCAGGCTTTGGTCCAGGAGGCTAGCAGTCCGGCGGGTCTGGTGGCGAGAGTGGGGAGGAGATGTGAGCCGGAGGGAGAAGGAGAGGCGAAAAATAGAAGGTGGTATCCGAAATGTGATGCAAACGCCCGCTCTACGTCAGACAAAAGGCACCGGGCGCCCAGCCAGGCGGCCTCCGGAGCCCGGACGCGCGTGGCCCGAGGGGGGCCGGAGCTGGCGACTGCAGCCGGGCGCACCCGCCACCTGCCCGCAGACTGCAGCGCCGCGGCCCCAGGAAGTGCGGCGGCGGCGGTGGCGGCCTCCACTCCGCTCTGTTGTGACAGGGAGGGAGACTTGTTTTGACAGCCCGTGGGGATTGGCAGGCGTCTGGACCTCTTAGGAGCCTGCCTCGCCGACTGGGGGGTCTGCCCGACCAATCCTCACTGCGGAGGGGTGTGCCCGAGCGCGAAGAATGGAATGTGTTCCGTAACTGGGAGCCGGCCCGGCGGGGCTGGTGTACTCGAGCGAGGGTGTACGCGCGCGTGTGCGCACCCGCACGCGCTCCGTGTATATTTTAGGAAGTTTAGATTTGCGAAAAGAGTCCGAAGATGCAACAAAATCCGAGGTGGTGGGAGGCAGGTGGGGGAGGAAACGGTCTGCAAAACAAAGCAACTGGCAGAAAAGGGGGTGTTGAGTATTAATGTCAAAGCGTTTGGGGTGACAGAGTGAAGCTTCACAAGGTGAGGTGTTCATTGCAGGTTCTCAGGCCACTCCTTAGAAGTCAAGTCCATGAGGAGATAAACTAGGGCTTACTGGGATGCCGGAGTTCCATAATTTGTTTCAGGTTCCATGAAAGGATTCTACGTTCACTCTGCAATGGGAATAAATATGACAAGGAAGAGAGGTCAGATAAAGGAGGTGAGGGTAAAAGGAAACTGAACCAACCAAATTTCTCTGGAGAGTGACTCCTAACAAAACCCAGATATGATATAAGTCAGATAAGTGCCGGTGGGATGGGGAGTTTAGTCTCTATTCTAAATCACTCCTATTTGACAATGGTTCAACCTCCTATCTCTAGAAAATTCTATATAAACAAACATATTTTGTTCATTTCCAGTAAGCTGGTGACCAAGGGGAGAGATATCTTTGGATGATGCATTTAGTCACTGAAATTAGGCACAGAGTGTTCAGATGCAAATGATGGCTCTAAAGACTCCCTGCTAGGACAACAACTTGACATTTTAATTTAAAAGTTTTTTCTATATTAGAATCTATTCATGTATTAAACCTCATTTATAACATTAAATTTTGTATCTTAATTATTAATAATTTAATAATTTGAGATTTTACTTGTTCCTCAGTCTAGCCAAGAGTATGAGAAATTCTTCAGCCTTTTAGACCAAGAATTTTGTTAGAATCTCAGAATTTTAGAGATGCATGGGGATTCAGGGATCATCTAGGACAGCCCTTTTATTTGACAGGTATGATGAAGGCCCAGGGGAGCCTTGTCTACTAGTTAGTGCAGGAACTGAAATTAGAATCTGCCACCCAACTCCTCCAGGAATCTCTTCGCTACTTTACCTGGCTCCTCTGGGGCTGCAACCAGCCAGAACTGGATGGGGCCCTTGGGAGGTGTCAGATTTGACCTTTACCAACTTACTAGGGAAGACAGAGAAGGCTTGACTTCACCTTCTCTTTAAATATAAATGCAGCCCAATAATGAATGTACTGTGGTTCAGTGGCGACCTCCGGTTTTAGAACCAACACCACCCTCTAGTGAGATTCTGAGAACTGCATCCATATAACAACAGCAAACACTTTTTTCCCCCCCTGATATATAAAAGACAGGAGGAGTAACTCAATGAAAGTTTCCTTTTCAACCGGTCTGCCTTTATAACCCACAGACTAGAGGAAGGAAATAAAAGCATGCCCAGACTTAAAACAACCACACATGTCTTTCATCTCCATTAATTCAGGGAATTCCCATCTGTGTTATACAGGGAAATATTTTTACTTGCCTTCCTCACAAATATAACCTATTTTAGGCTATCTTTTTTTTCTTTGCTATTCAGTTCTTACTACATTTGGCTTTCTTTTAGTTGCTCTAAGTGCATCATTTTTCTTTGTTACTCTAATAAAAATCCCATTCTTGGGTTGTCCTTTGAGAAATATAAAACTGCCTTTAACTCACTCATTATCTTGTTCTATGACATTAATATAATTTATAAAGATTTCCCATCCTATATGTTTATATACCATTGTGATAATAACCTATTTTAAAAGTATTAAAATTATCCTGACCTTATTCACATTTAAGATCAGTGGTCTTCAAAAAAAGAGGCCAGAGAGTATAGCATATAATTTGCAAAATGTTTTATGTTTCAGCTAGACAATGTCCAGTTGGACTCTTAGCTCTTTTTTTCCCTTTTCATCCTTCCCTCTCATCCTCATGTGAAAGCAAACACACACACATTCTCTCTGTAACTCTCACACACACACACACCCACACCCACACCCACACCCCTCCCCGCGCAACCCTCTGAATCCTTTGCTCTGAGTATGTATTCAGGAAGGTTGTTGTCTAATTCATTCTGCTTTGAGAAAATACTTGGATCCTGATCTAGCAAGTCTTTCATACTGTTATGCTCTAGCATAAGCTCAGAAGGCTTTTCCTATTACTCCTGTGTACCTGCTCCCACCCAGGGACAGATTCTGCTTTGTGGCCCATCTTCAAAGACTGAAAGAAGAGACTAGCCAGATATGGCTAAGCCAGCAACCATAGGAACATTCCTACCCCTCCATTAACAGTCCCTTTTTCCAAATAACTGTCACCTATAATTCCTGCCTCCCAACCTTTCACCAAGTCACAGCGGCAATCACTAGATTGGCAGATGGGAATTTGGGGACGAGTCAGGGTGGGGAAGGTGGGATGTGAATAAGAGTAATGAACAGCCTTCTCTAACCACAAATCTCAAGTTGCCCCTACAGGCCCCTACACATGCCACGTGGCACTCATATTGTTCTGTTTTGTTTTCTCACAGGATTTTATTACTGTGAATAAACTATCCTGTCCATGGAATTGTTTACTTAAATATTATGTCTCACTGATCCCCTATCTCTGCCTCACTGAAATGTAGAATGTAATCTCCATGTACATAAAGACTTTGTTGATTTTATTCATTGCTCTATGTCTAGCTCCCAGAACCATGCCTGGCACACAGTAGGTGCTCCATAAATATTTGTGGACAAAGGACCTTTGCAGTCCTGCAATTAAAAAAAATAATCTCTCTGATAAAGAAGAATGGTTCTGTCACTGCCCACACAGTAGGACTTTTCATCCTCAAGGATCCTAGAATTCCATCTTAGAGTAGAAATCAGAGCAGATCCAGAGCAAGCAGTTGCAAAACCAGAAAAAGGGCACTTACAGATTGGAGTAACTTAAAATCTAGAATTAGACTAAAAGACAACTGATAGGAAATAAGTGAGGTCTAGCAAATCTGAAAATACCTAGCCCAGACTCAAAGACCAGATATGTCAATGCAGACCTTCCAGCCACGGGAAGTCACTCCAGAACTCTGAGCCTGAGAAAAATCCAGTAAGAATATTAAGACTTTCCATATGCTACCAGGAAATCACAGTAGGGGAAGAGAACTATCTTTCTGATAACTCCTTTCTATGTACTAGGTAATCCTGTATGAAGTATTCTGATCTCCACTTTATAGATAAGGAAACTAAGGATCAAAAGGGTCAAGTAGCTTGCTCGAAGTTAGAGCCAACTAGGAAGTGAGGAAACCAGGATTTTAGTCCAAGTCAATGACTTCAAAGCCTGCTTTCTTC